ACATTGAGGATGAAAAGTTGCCAGGGGATTTTTGATATCTCGAACGGTTTGGCCGTGGCGAGGAAACGAATTTATGGCGAATAAAGGAAACAGGAAGTGTGTTATAACTTCTGCATACATTAACTGATCTTGATGAAACTTCAGCAGTGTGTTCGCTGTAAGAGTCCGATCACATGGATGTGACTATTGTGAGTCAAAGTTATAGCGCCACCAACTGGCAGCAGGAAGTGTGTCACTTCCTAAAGGCTTTGAAATCACCCTCTTATTTTTACCCAATTTGCTTCAAACTTTATGTGTATAATGTAGACACACGGCAGATGTAGACCTGAGAAAGGATTATTGATATCTTAGATACTGTTGCCGTGGCAACGCATCAAACTTTATTATTCTTTGTTGATGCTTTTGAGACTCTTAACATACTTGAAATTGCATGAAACCCGACAGACACATCACATTTATTAGACAGTAGACATGTGCAGAGTTTCAGAAACGGGCGTGGTGAGGGGCTCAGTAGCGCCACCTTTTGTCAAAAGTGGGGGGATTGATTTTATCTACAGTAATAAAAATCGGTATGTGTATTGTTCTCCTCCAGCCAGACAACTTTCTAATTTACACTCAATAGCTCCAACCAACAGGAAGTCAGATATTTTGGTTTGAAAATTGTCATTTTATGTCTCTCTCTCTCTGAGCCTACGTCTATGTGTGTGTGTGTGTGTGTCTGTGAGTGTGGGGAGGGGGAGGGGGGCTAGATTAACCATTTGACTGCTGTGTGGTTTGGCCTGCATTAAAAAAGAAAAAGAAATGTCTTACGCCTTGTATTTTTTAAATAAGTTGTATTAATAAGTAAAGGCATATAACCAGTTGAATTGTAGTGCATTGAAAATAGTTTTATATAATTAGTTTATTAATTAAATTAACTTGGTCAGAAAATTTGGTCCATAAATCAAACACACTTGCATGTAATATTATGAAACTCTGTACACATATAGATCTCATCGGGCCAAACAACTTTAAGCCAGCCCAACAGGAAGTGGGCTATTTTGGTCTTAATGTGGATGTTTTGCAAAACCAGGCTCTACATTTTTACCCACTCCTCTTAAGTGGTTTATTTTATTCCCACCAAACTTTTTCAACATGATGAAAATACATTAAAGAAGCATAATTGTGAATATCTATTGAATATCTCTAATTGTTTTGCTATGGCGAGGGATTAAAGTCATGTAAAAAAAAATAAACACTAAAAGCCTCATATCTTCTAAAAATTTAATTATACACCATTTATTTCTAGTTAAAATTATACAAATATCAGAACTAAACCCATTTTATTCTTGTTTTCAATTTAAGAATAATGTACAAGTTTAAAAACAGCCAGGATGCACTATTCAGTTAAAAAAAAAAAATATCAAATAATACATAGGGCTATACTGCCCTCTTGTGTTCAAAATCAGGTAGGCCTGTTGTATTTAAATATAGGTAGCTGCTATGTGACTCCGAGAATTTTTTCTCACCGGTTATTTGACGTGTAACACCGGGGGCTTTTATATCGCTAAGTTAAAAGTGAAAGTAAAGTAAGGACATTTATAGTGGTGGCGCTCACAGTGCGCTCGAATGAATTTCTATGGAAGTAGAAATGAAAAAACGTTCGCTCTGTTTTGCTCGCTCGTCGCCATGGACGCGCACCGTAATGAATGCCACTGCAGCCGCATACTTTTTAGTGTCACTTTAAAATTAGTGCAATATCGGGGGCCAATTGCTTGAATTGTGAGTTCAATAGTCTATTATTTTTCACGGAAAACACAACAACAAAAGAGTACAATGATAGATTCGCTTAAATAGGCGCTTTTACATAAAATAGCCTATTCCGTCATCATCTTTTCAGTCAGCTCTTCACTCTCGTGATTAATGAAATTTGACTCCTGTTGCTGATATTTGCTGCAACTTTCGTTCTGCTCACAATTTAGTAAGCAAACACGCTTCAAATGTGTTTTTATTTTATTTTTGTGTGTATATATATATATATAGCTTATGTTTCAAATATGAGTTAATTAACAATCGTTTGAAAGAATGATACTTTTAAACATATCACTAAGCCGTCATTAGGTGTCGCCAGGCGACCGTCTTAATGAGCGAGTCATTGATTCATTTGTTCGAACGATTCGTTCGAACGGCTGAGTCATTCATGAATGAGACAGATTATGGATTGGTCATTGAATCTTTGAGTCAACCGATTTGTTCAAAATGCTGAATCATTCAGTAATGAGAAAACACGTTGCTGTGAGATGCTCGATGGTTCTGCTGTGATCTTTGTTTAACTAGTTTCACTGCTGAAACAGAAAAAAGTCAATATTGCATATAAAATGTAAGTGATTTGACTTGTGTGTGTGTGTGTGTGTGTGTGTGTGTGTGTGTGTGTGTGTGTGTGTGTGTGTGTGTGTGTGTGTGTGTGTGTGTGTGTGTGTGTGTGTGTGTGTGTGTGTGTGTGTGTGTATGATTGTGTCTGTTACTTTTTGGATATATATCTTTTTATATAAAAAAAAATAGGCATACAACCCATATATTTTAAATGTATTGTTTGCTTTAAATTACATTAAGATTTGTATGTTTGGTAATTGAACCTGAATGAATTTTAAATGAATGTGCTATATTTCAGAGTTTTCCTTAAAATTTGACCTAACACTAACTTTATTCTCATCTGAATGATAGATTATTTATTTCTGTATAAAATAAAAAAGAGATTTTGGTTGGGTGACAGTTGTAGTTTACAGTTTGACAAAAGCACAATGTTGTGTTTTATTGCGATTGTTCACAAATATAAGTAAACACTTATGAGATAGATGTTTATGGATTGATTGGTCATTGAATCTTTGAGTCAACCGATTCGTTCAAAATGCTGAATCATTCAGTAATGAGAACGCGTTGCTGTGAGATGCGCGATGGTTCTGCTGTGATCTTTGTTTAACTATTTTCGCTGCTGAAACAGAAAAAAAGTCAATATTGCATCTAAAATGTAAGTGATTTGACTTGTGTGTGTGTGTGTGATTGTGTGTGTGATTGTGTCTGTTACAGTGATAAGAGTTTAACCCTTGTTAAACTTTAGACCTTGTCTTTTTGGATATATATCTTTTTATATTAAAAAATAGTCATACAACCCATATATTTTAAATGTATTGTTTGCTTTAAATTACATTAAGATTGTATGTTTGGTAATCGAACCTAAATGAATTTTACATGAATGTGCTATATTTCAGATCATATATTTGTTTTCCTTAAAATTTGAACTAACACTAACTTTATTCTCATCTGAATGATAGATTATTTATTTCTGTATAAAATAAAAACACCTTTGATTTTTCTTTTTTAATCAATGTAGAATGTGTAACTGAAAAAATAAACAGATTAGGGCTCTGTTTGATGACAAGAAATGAAAACCAATGCGATATGATGAATGTCCAAAAGATGGCTCCCACAGACTGTTTTTAAATAGGATTGTTTGATATTTTTTGCTTTTAAACTGTGTGTGTGTGTGTGTGTGTGTGTGTGTGTGTAAGAGATTTTGGTTGGGTGACAGTTGTAGTTTACAGTTTGACAAGAGTTTATAGTTTGACAAAAGCACAATGTTGTGTTTTATTGCGAGTGTACACAAATATAAGTAAACACTTTGCAGTTTGAATAATGTCCTGTATGAACAAAAGGACGGAGTATGTCTTTATGTCTACATTGTTCAATTACGCCACACACACACACACACACACAAACACTATTTTTCTAATCAGATCAGGCAAGTAATATTCTGTCTTGTCTCTTAAAAAAACAATATATATATATTTATGTATATATATATATATATATATATATGTGTGTGTGTGTGTGTGTATATATATATATATAAATATAGCTGCGAGCAGCGTGAAAGGGCCAAAGCCGGCGGCACCGCCACCCCGGTTATAGCGCCACCAACTGGCAGCAGGAAGTCTGTCACTTTCAAAAAGCTTTGAAATCACCTGATTGCTTCAAACTTCACTACTATGATGTAAACACACGGCAGATGTAGACCTGGATGTAGACCTGACCTTTCAGAAGGTTGCTCTCGCATACTTTGTGGTTGACATGTGCCCTCAATGCACACTTTTGCAGAGCCCACACTGATACAAGCTCTACAGCACACTTCTTTTCGACAGTCAAAGCAGGGTTACGTTTTTGCACGTCGTGCACAATAACCCTAAAGGCACCAGGGTGGCGGTGCCACCGGCTGTATATATATATATATATATATATAAATAAATATAGCTGCGAGCAGCGATGAAGGGCCAAAGCCGGTGGTACCGCCACCCCGGTGCCTTTAGGTAACTAAAGGCACCGGGGTTGCGGTGCCACCGGCTTGGGCCCGTAATCGCTGCTCGCAGCTATATTTGAAATTGTGTTTATGCTTAAACCAAGAACAAATATCTGTCAATGAGTTTCCCTTTGAATTTAGTTTTTTTTTTTACTCATTAGCAGATATTTGTTCTTGTTTTAAGCAAAACTCAATTAATTTGATCAATTTTACAGAAAAGAAGGCTTCATATTCTGTCATTTTCTATCTCCAGTTAATGCATCATGATTTAAGAATCTTTAGACAATTGCACTGAAAAACAAGACAAATATACTAAGGAAGAACACCACTTTTTTGCAGTGTGATGAGAAGATACAGTAAAAGTTATATCCATATTCTAGTGGTTGAAAACAAAGGTTTTCAAACTACCTTTTTTGTAAAATAATTTAAAAAGTAATGGATATCTGTTTGAATTTGTATTTTTAGATACACACTGCGTTTATCATATTGACGTATTGTGCTCCCTTCAATTTATTCCTTAAATGTCCTTTGCTTGGTCTTAAAAAGGTCTTGAATTTACATAAAACCTGCAGAAACCCTGAGTTACCAGTGGCTCCATTTAATGCATTTTAACATTTTAAATCCATTCTGCAGATTTTACCTCCCAAATTAATAAGGAAAAAAATTTGTAGTCTTTGCTTCCAACCCTGAATTACTCCTCCCCTTCAGGTGTTGTGTTTAAAATGTTGCTGATTTTGTGTAATTGTGCAACTGCACTGAAGGACTCTTCTCTCAGATTCTGGTTGCTAATACGAAGCTTCAACACTTCAGCCAGTAGTCCCACTTTGTCTCTCTTCTCCTGAATCAGAGGACAGAGGAACACATCGTGCTAATGAGCCAGTTTGTCCTCTATGAGAGCACATATTTCACACCTTTCTCATTTATTAACCGCTAAATAAGCCTCACCTTCAGCAGGTCACTACTCAGTCGCCTAAGCATCCCTTCCAGGTGAGAGAGTTGGTCGGGGAATTCAATGAATACGTCACTGCTAAAAATAACCATGCAAGTCTATTAATATTCATGCAGTGTATTATTCAAAGAAAGAACTTACACATCAATAACATGTTTACTGGTTTTAAATTAAGATTAGAAAAGATGCTCCACTCACTCCATATCTTCTCCACTGCAATAAGCACTGGAATGGTGGATCTTGTAGGTTTCATTGGATGGTGTATCTGGCCTGCTTGATACAGGACTCATTTCTGACAAAAGGCTTGCCATCCTTTGTGCTGTAAAAATATAACCATGGAGTCATTCATTTTAATGCTAATACTACTAATAGCAGGTCATTGCATTAAACAAAATTATGAAAATTATGAGTCACCATGGAATTAAAATAATTCTTATTTTTTTGTGCAGGAATGGTGCAGTATTTATTATAAATGATTTATCTGTTCACATAATATATATTTTTTAATTCATGTGGCTTCGTAACCTTTAGTCAAAATAAAAGACAGACCTACTGTGAGCTAAGAGGTTGTTAATCCATTGTATTTGCTTCTGCTGAAGCTGTCAGCCCACATTATTACAGCTTATATTATCAGAATTCCTAGTGAAAAACTACATTATCCATGACACTGTGCAGAAAATTACACCAACCAGAGAGTGGAAAAAAAGCAACACGCTCCAAAATAGCTCTTTAGCTCCGCCCACTGCGAATGAAATAGTTGATTTTTCTACATTCTCAAAATGCTTAAATGTTTGTGTACATATATATATATATATATATATATGCATATTTTGCAATAAACTTGTAAATGATTAGTTTTATATTTCTCCATAATTTTTAATATCGATTATGCTGTTCACAGTGCTTTGTGGGATTGTAGTTCTTTCCGTCACTAAAACCGTTAAGTACACAGTCTTATACCTTTGTCTTTTTGTCGGATTTTTTGCTTCAAATCAAACTTTTTTGCTTCAAATCGAAGTTTGTAGTGTTGCGATTCACCTCGTAGCTGATTGATTAACACTGGTTCATAGCTTATTACTCTTTAACAAAGACTATTTTAAAATCCTTATGGGAAAAATTAATGAAAAAAAATAACTTCGGGAACCAGCTCTGCTGAAAAAGGGCGCGGACACTGTTGCACTTTTTGCCCAGATCCGGGCCACATCTGGTACATGTGGATTCCACGCGTACCAGATGTGGGCTGGATCTGGGCGACACTATGTTGCTGTGTGGGAACCATCTAATCAATTACCGATGGACAAAATCAAGTCTTGCCCTACATTTTCTCTTGTTCGAGAAGCAGTTTCATGCGGATATACACTCACCGGCCACTTTATTAGGTACACCTGTCCAACTGCTCGTTAACACTTAATTTCTAAGCAGCCAATCACATGGCGGCAACTCAGTGCATTTAGGCATGTAGACATGGTCAAGACAATCTCCTGCAGTTCAAACCGAGCATCAGTATGGGGAAGAAAGTTGATTTGAGTGACTTTGAACGTGGCATGATTGTTGGTGCCAGAAGGGCTGGTCTGAGTATTTCAGAAACTGCTAATCTACTGGGATTTTCACGCACAACCATCTCTAGGGTTTACAGAGAATGGTCCGAAAAAGAAAAAACATCCAGTGAGCGGCAGTTCTGTGGGCGGAAATGCCTTGTTGATGCCAGAGGTCAGAGGAGAATGGCCAGACTGGTTCGAGCTGATAGAAGGGCAACAGTGACTGAAATAACCACTCGTTACAACCGAGGTATGCAGCAAAGCATTTGTGAAGCCACAACACGCACAACCTTGAGGCGGATGGGCTACAACAGCAGAAGACTCCACTGGGTACCACTCATCTCCACTACAAATAGGAAAAAGAGGCTACAATTTGCAAGAGCTCACCAAAATTGAACAGTTGAAGACTGGAAAAATGTTGCCTGGTCTGATGAGTCTCGATTTCTGTTGAGACATTCAGATGTTAGAGTCAGAATTTGGCGTAAACAGAATGAGAACATGGAACCATCATGCCTTGTTACCACTGTGCAGGCTGGTGGTGGTGGTGTAATGGTGTGGGGGATGTTTTCCTGGCACACTTTAGGCCCCTTAGTGCCAATTGGGCATCGTTTAAATGCCACGGCCTACCTGAGCATTGTTTCTGACCATGTCCATCCCTCTATGGCCACCATGTACCCATCCTCTGACGGCTACTTCCACCATGTCACAAAGCTCTAATCATTTCAAATTGGTTTCTTGAACATGACAATGAGTTCACTGTACTAAAATGGCCTCCACAGTCACCAGATCTCAACCCAATAGAGCATCTTTGGGATGTGGTGGAACGGGAGATTCGCATCATGGATGTGCAGCCGACAAATCTGCGGCAACTGTGTGATGCCATCATGTCAATATGGACCAAACTCCCTGAGGAATGCTTCCAGCACCTTGTTGAATCTATGCCACGAAGAATTGAGGCAGTTCTGAAGGCAAAAGGGGGTCCAACCCGTTACTAGCATGGGGTACCTAATAAAGTGGCCGGTGAGTGTACGTCACAATACTCCGTATTAAACTTCTTGTTTACTGAACTGTTGGATTGAAGTAGTATCACAAATTAATATAAATATCACTTGAAGGAAACGTACTTCACACATCCACTAATGGCACTGGGTTTAGTCAAAAAAGTAAAGTTAATACTGAGAAAAGGTTTAGCATTATTTGTTTGCACATGACACATGATTTGATATTTTATATCTAATGCAATGGGATTTATACATTTATAAGTGTCAAAAACGTTTGGGACCACTGTATGTTGAACAATCTTAACTCAACATATTCATTTATACTTCGATACTTACTCTCATACTCTTGGGCTGCTTGAACTAAACTATTCCAGTCAAGATCATAGGCTGTGCTTGGCAGCGGCATGAGTTGAGGATTAGGATGTTGGTCTCTGTCCCAAAGGTCAGATTCAGTCTGCTCAGGCAATTCCACACATTCTAGGACAAGACAACCAGTGAGTGCTATTGTATACAATTAAGATCCTCCAAAAATCTCTTCAAGACAAGGTAAAACTAGTTGAAGAGCAATTGATAAAAGCATTAGAATACATGCAAACCGCAACAGTACAATAAATATCATTTTAATCTTGCCTGTTTGACGTGTTTGCAGGTGGAAATGGACAGGTGTGAGCGTGGGAGTCTCTGGGTATAATCGCTGAGCAGGACCGAATAGCGACGGACTGGCACATAAACTTCTGCAAAGCTCTGCCTCATTTTGTTGAGGTGGTGACTAGAAAGAGACAGTAAACACATTGCAACACTGCTCACATGCCAATGCACAGCAGAACAATACCTGCTTTTTCCACATTATTGTCCTAGGCTGTCAGGTTGTTTAGGGTCATACTGAGCCGAATACATCACGTACTGAATCACCCTGAGCGCTGTCCTCGGTGTCATCCATCACAATGAGTTTTTTCAAGTCCTCCACCACTGTGCTCTTGCGAACGGGTCGCGGGGAACATGCTGCTCGCAGTGATGCGAACACTCGAGGCTTTCCAAACACATTCTTTGAGTTCACATCCACCTGACTGAGAAATATATGTTAAGCCAACTACTAATAAAATTCTGATAATTACTTATTATTGATTCTTTTTGTTTTGTGGGCAACACTTTACAATAAGGTTTATCATTAGTCAAAGAATTAGGTACAATCATTTTTTTACAGCATTAATTCATTAAGAGATAATGCACACCTCGGACATTAAATATTGATCTGAGTTGAAATTATTTTATTATTTGTATATTAAATCTTCCAAAGACGAATAAGGGGCTATTCACACAGAATGTGTTTTTGCATTCCACTACACTGCATTTTCTTTGTTTTTTTTTCTGTGTAAACACGCGCTATGTGGACATCTTTGACTATTGCGCTTGCATATTTTGCAGTCTCACACATGATACATTGTTCTAAAAAAGCAGCACTCAAGTTAAAATAAGTGTAACTTTTTAAACATGTGCCTCAAGACCAGTGATTCCCAACCTTTTTGACTAAAAGACAATATATGAATGCCCCTCTGACAAAGCTGATAATGAATATCTGGTACTTTATCACAAAAATAAATGCATATAAAAGTATTATGTCAGTTTAATGTTGTTCATCTTTATTTTTATTGTTTATTATTTTTTATGTTATAATGTTTTTGCCTTTTAACTAAGATTATGTTAATAACTAAATTTAAATCATTATAAGATTTATTGGGGCCTCCCTGGATGTTTGATGAGAAGTCGGCACACCAGAGAGCTCTAAAAATGCAAAAATGTATTAATGTCTCTCTCACACAGATGCTGTTTCACGCTCTTCATCAGACGATTTGGTGGGCCGATTTATTTTTTGAGTTCTTTTTAAGTCAATGCATTGTTTTATTATTGTTGCATTTTTGTATAAATGCACTCTGTGCCATCATGTTGGTTTAAGCCAGTCAGTGATGCTCCATCTTACATGCTAGCGTACGACTACCGTGAACTGATTTAAATACTCAGAAGGCGGTAATTTGGTCTGTTTTAGGCAAGCAAAGCAGACATTTGAAACAAAATGAATCTTTAATCTTTTCAAAAAACTAAAACATACTTTTTAAGTATGGCTATGGCATAGCACTGCGCAGGAACCGTCTTCTGACCTTTTGCCATCAACTGATCAGTGTTCAAAAAATCCTCCACTGACTTTCAAAGCTGCTACATATAACTTTTTTGGAGGACCTTGGTAGAAATGTATTGGAGTGAAAAGTATGATATTTGTCTTTCAAATTTAGTGAAATTAAAGTCATACGTTTCCAGATAAAATAACTCAAGTAAAGAACAGATCCTCAAAAAGTGAACTCAAGTAAATGTAATTCGTTACTGTCCACCTCTGGTTGTCACAGACGACATGGATATTAGGAAATATCTGACCAATTAAAATCAAGTATTTCAAAGAGCTGTGTAATAACGTATACTGACAAAATAAACCTTATTGTAAAGCGTAATAATTGCTACACTACTATAACCTATTGTTATGATAATGGTACATTAAAATATTAAGTATATCCCATAAAGATATCTGCTTACCTTTTTATATGGTTGTGGTTACCGTTTCTGACACCACCGGTTTCTCTATGTAGTGTGTACTCGTACTGTATCTTCTTTTGTTTTGGGCTGTAGTGAGGTTGAGTCTGGCTGGCTTGAACTTGACATGACCAGTCAGGGTCACCTTGAGATGGTTTAATGCCAGTGTCAACACCCTCATGACTTACCTTTTCCAGTTTTGGACAGAACGTTGCAGGCTGGTCTGCTCTAGACTGTCGTCCAGGGAAGAGATGTAGTGTGTTAATAGAATAATAATCCTTGGTAGAAGTATCCTCAGTGAATGAATTCTGGCTCTGCCTCCACGCAAGTTGGTCATTTCTGGGAGGTTTTATATTGGGTTCCTGCAGATTGAACAAAATGCAGTCCTGGTTCTTGACGAGATGGTCCTCTCTTAGCTGGAGTTGGCTGAAGTGCTCCTTGCCGGGTTGATTCGAGGTTGGTGAAGACTGAGAAACCACAGCTCTCATCAAAGGAGGCTTTTTCACCACGGAAGTCTTAACCTCTTGCGGTTTGGAAAACAAAGGGCTGGCAAAAATAAAACAAAAAGTCCACAGACACACACATATTGTAGAAACATAAAAACAAAGAATGAGGTAAGCGGTGCATACATTGCACAAGGACAGCAAGCATAAAGACAGAGCCATTTTAAAAATGTAAAAGTCATTTCATTATATTTCGAATGTCCTTTTTTTCTCTGTGACATTGTTCATTTACAGCAATACAGAAAATCTGACTCAGAACTCTAGTGACAGATGGTGACTGGAAGGTATAGACTGAATTTAGGGTCAGGGAACAACTCTATACAATGTGGTGGGAATGTCCCACTTTTTAGTGACTGTCCCACCCCTCCCCCGTGGGATCTCATGGGTGGAAGCTGGGAAGGAGGGGTCCGGAGGCGCAAGAATATTACAAGTATTGAATCAACAGTTGTGTCCTGGATTAAAAACCCATTGTGAGCCATCATAGGAATTCATACTGGTTTAATCTAGCCTTTTCATCAGGAATTGTATAAAACATTATATAATCATAAATTTTGACAAGATTTATGCATCTCACCTGGGTTTGAGAACAGAAGTTTTGGAGCATGGAAGAGGCAACGTGAGAGCACAGAACTCCTTCAAGTTGTTTGTGGAAGCAGATCCTTTTAAAGACTTTTTTGTGGATTGTGCAGCTTCCCAGTGCTTCGATCGTTGGATTTTTGGACTGTAGAAACCCGGCTGTGTCAGCGGGTGCTGCTTACGACTGTTTCTGAGGGGCTCAGCATTGTTCTTGGCATCTTTGCCATTCAACCAGAAGTCATTAGCATAGGGTGAAAAAGCACTTGATTCTCTATTTGGCTGGAGAAAATGCGCCTACGAAACATAAAAATGATTTGTTAATGATAATTGCAATTAAAAAATGGCCCAAATGAACTGATTTGTTACTTATCTTTCAAGTGCTGTATCCTTTGATAGTCAAGATTCAAAAGTTATGGTAAACAGTAATAAAGTAATTTCACTCATACATTTTTCAAGTAAGCCCTCTTTACTTTATAACATTTTATTTTTATGGGAATTTTTACTTCATTCCAAAACATATGACATAACACAAAAAAAAAAAAACATAACACAAAATAAAACAAAAAAAAATAACATAACAAAAACGTAACATAACATATAACAAAAACATAACATAACTACATATAACATTAAACAAAACACAAAACATAATACAACAAAATAAAAACAATATAACAAAAAACAACATGTTATATGTTATGTTATTTGTTTGTTGTTTTTTGTTATATGTAATAAAATAAAATATAACATATAACAACACAACATAACAAAAAACATCACATCACATAAAACATAGAATTCAAACTCACTCTTGGCAAGCTGTTGTTAGTCGCTTTCTGCTGGTCCTGCAGACAATCCCTCTGGCCTCTTCTTTCCCTGCCAAGCAATGAGCGAGTGGCTGTTACCATATGCCATTCTCCTTCTGAAATATATGATGAAATTGCAGAGGCAAGTTGCCCTAAGTGACATGAAATACTGACTGAATCTTATCACTAATAAAAGCACTCAGAACCTGCTATCAGACCTGTATTGTCTTTCGTTCTGGAGCGGTTTAATCTTGTGAACTCCACTTGCTCACTTGAAGGCCAATCTGAGCTGTTTTGCATGGGTGAACGATCATAGGAACTGAAAAAGATGAGGTCATTTTCACCAGGTCAAATTGTAATGATTGTCAAATATGGTAAAAGATTACATCTCACCTCACAAGGCTGGTATGCCTGAACTCAGAACTGAAGTGTAGAGGTGGTGTCTGTGGAGGAGTTGTAGCGCAATCCAAGTCCCAGAACAATGCAGCCATCTTCCTGGATTCCAAGTTTTTCCTCAATATCCTTATAAATGAAACCAAGATATATGCAGCAGCCAAGATGATGTCCAAACATAATAATTTTCATTTAAGACACCCTTCCTGAAGTCATCTGAAATGCGTTTATAGATTGGGTGGGACAAATGATGGTACAGACCGCTCCAATTCAACTGAGCTAGCGGAGAAAGCAGGGAAAGAGCTGTGTGGGCTCTTCAGCAGCTGAATGGAACAGAGGATGGGATTGTGTTGCCTGGTCTGTTGGCTGTTGTAAGCACTGTGCTTGTTTGCTCCAGGCAAATGATGCTGCTGTGTGCACTGCAATAAATTAAGAAAAAAAGATTAACATTCAGTATGCGGCTTCCAGCATATACAAATCCTACTCAACACATGTATCTAAATAAACAGAATTTACAAAATACAATTAAAAACTAATCTAAATAGCAGTATTTCACTACTAGACTTTTGAGCCCCACTGTATTTGTTAAGTGCCTTTTTATTTCCTAATAAACATTTTATCCTATTTACATTAATAATAAATGTGTGCAGCATCAGAGTCCAAGCAGCAATTGCTCATTTAGACTATTCAATAATACAATTGCCATGAACATTTGCATATTTAAAAAAAAAACTAAATTTAGTAGTTACAGTCACCCGTAATTTTGCCAATTTAGACGTGTATTAAGGGTACGTTTACACTACAACGATGTATACTAAAAACTGACAAGTTTTTCCTTTGCGTTTTTCGCGTACAGACAACAACATTGTCAAAATGATCCCAGTTCACACGGATCCACGAAAATTAATAAAAACATTCATGCCAGCTAAGTAGTTATAGACTGAACATGTAATATGTATGCACATGACGTCACCGGTTTCACAAACACGCATATTTGATGTTTACATAGGCACGATAATGGTATCGTTTTCAAAAGCTTGCGTTTTCAGCCCCAAAACACCGTTGTTGTGTAAATGAACGGCCAAAACGAAAAAGAAAAAAAATTTTTTTGAAAAAGCTGCTGTGAACGGCCCCTAAATTTAGTTATGAAAACATGCCTAAACTTGAGAGAACTTAAACTGTAAACTTGCCCCTCAAATCTGAGTGATTGGTTGCAATATTGATCCAGGAGAATGTTGTACTTGGTGAAATCACATTCACCGTAATGACTTATGTAGCTACCTTGTAGCCTCCACAGTACATGTACAGTGCATCCGGAAAGTATTTCACAGCGCTTCACTTTTTCCACATTTTGTTATTTTACAGCCTTATTCCAAAATGGAATAAATTCATTATTTTCCTCAAAATTCTACAAACAATACCACATAATGACAATGTGAAAGAAGTTTGTTTGAAATCTTTGCAAAATTCTTAAAAATAAAAAAGAATCACGTGTATACAAGTATTCACAGCCTTTGTCATGACACGAGTCAAGGAATTGTCTGTAGACCTCCGGGACAGGATTGTATCGAGGCACAGATCTGCATAAGGGTACAGAAAAATATCTGCAGCATTGAAGGTCCCAATGAGCAGAGTGGCTCATCCGTAAATGGAAGAAGTTTGGAACCACCAGGACTCTTCCTAGAGCTGGCCGCCCGGCCAAACTGAGCGATTGGGGGAGAAGGGCCTTAGTCAGGGAGGTGACCAAGAACCCGATGGTCACTCTGACAGAGCTCCAGCGTTTCTCTGTGGAGAGAGGAGAACCTTCCAGAAGGACAACCATCTCTTTAGCACTCCACCAATCAGGCCTGTATGGTCGAGTGGAAGGAAGAAGGAAGGAAGGAAGCCAATCCTCAGTAAAAGGCACGACAGCCCACCTGGAGTTTGCCAAAAGGCACCTGAAGGACTCTCAGACCATGAGAAACAAAATTCTCTGGTCTGATGAAACACAGATTGAACTCTTTGGCCTGAATGGCAAGCATCATGTCTGGAGGAAACCAGGCACAGCTCATCACCTGGCCAATACCATCCCGACAGTGAGACATGGTGGTGGCAGTATCATGCTGTGGCGATGTTTTTCAGCGGCAGGAACTGGGAGACTAGTCAGGATCGAGGGAAAGATGTACGCAGCAATGTAAAGAAACATCCTTGATGAAAACCTGCTTCAGAGCGCTCTGGACCTCAGACTGGGGCGACGGTTCATCTTCCAACAGGACAACGACCCTAAGCACACAGCCAAGAAAACAAAGGAGTGGCTACGGGACAACTGTGAATGGCCTTGAGTGGGCCCAGCCAGTGCCCAGAATTGGACATCTTTGGAGAGATCTGAAAATGGCTGTGCTTCGACGCTCCCCATCCAACCTGATGGAGCTTGAGAGGTTCTGCAAAGAAAATGGGAGAAACAGACCAAAAATAGGTGTGCCAAGCTTGTAGCATCATACTCAAAAAGACTTGAGGCTGTAATTGGTGCCAAAGGTGCTTCAGCAAAGAATTGAGCAAAGGCTGTGAATACTTATGAACGTGATTTCTTTTCATTTTTTATTTTTAATAAATTTGCAAAGATTTCAACTTTTCACGTTGTCATTATGGGGGTATTGTTTGTAGAATTTTGAGGAAAATAACTAATTTAATCCATTTTGGAATAAGGCTGTAACTGTAACATGTTTGCACACAAAAGTGTAGCGCTGTGAATACTTTCCGGATGCACTGTATGGATTGCATAATTGCTGCTGCAGACCCAGAAAGCATGAGGGCAATGTCCTATGCTGCATCTCTAGTTACAGTAATTCACCTCCATCTATGGTTTCTGCTCCACGATTGCCAAAAGTCCTCTACCTACAACAGCCAAGGTAAACATCTATTTGAAAGGGTGGCACGTAACATTCTTAGCATAGGAATAGAGCAGGTCTCTAAAAGAAAGCATTAACTTGACAATTTGTGGAGGGTTGGGAGTCCATTGGATCATTTCACAGCGGAGTCAAACATCTATAAAAGCCTAAAGGTAATAAAATAACCAGACAAGCAACATAAAAACAATTCTAACTAAAATGAATTATTGCGTGTGTGCATAGGCGCACCAATACGAGTCATCTGATCAAAGCTTTTGTATGGTTTTGAAAGATGAGAAAAAGTAAATAAATCAAATCATGTTCATGTTTATTGTTCTGACATTCAAAAACCTTTACAAAATTACCCGGCATGAAAAAAAAAAAGATTCTGTAGTTATCACAGCAACCCAGAACACAGAACTGCAAAACCGATACAGCCAAGTTAACAAAGCTCCCAACATAAACGACCACAAGTCGTGTACTTATTATACAGTACAAAATCTCAATAAGGTGAGATCAAATTAAGTGCAAACAGTGATTTTGTGCATAAGGAGTACTGGCTCAAATATCCCAGACACCATTCTCAAGTCGAATTGGCAGTCTATTTGATATATTAACATGGGCAATTTAGTTGCTTAAAGAATGACGTACTGTATTCCCCTTTTGTAGCTCATGTGTGCATGCAAATAACACACAACATAGGAATGTGAGGCATAAGATTAGCTTAACTCACCGTGCTTGATGTGAATTAAAATGGTGCTTGATCAAGACAAAGAAATACAAAACACTTTTTCCACATGTTTTCATTACTTTGGGAGCTATGCAACGATGCATAAGAGGTCTTTGTTGTTCTGCGATTCGATTTAGCTTCAGTTTATCGAATTGTTAGTAGTGTGCACTTAAATTCAGTTCATCCCCAACCCAAAATAGAGCCATTTGGTCACAGATATAAAATAAAACGAAGGGAAAATATCTGGCAACTACCACAAACATACTATGGTGGTTGATTAGTAATCAAAAGCACTCCTGTTTTATGGATCTTCACACACCTGCCAAAACAACATTACTGTAATGATTTTCATTTGCAAGGTTAATGTTCCTAAAACGAAGCTAATCTTTTACTCACCAACCCTTCAGGGCAAACTGCTTAAATAAAACTCTATTTACAGTGTCAAAATACATACAGCGGTTCCAAAGTAGTGAAAACGACTAAATAGCGAGGGGCTTACAACTTCAGCAGATAAATTCACAGGCTTAGATGTTCATCAGTAGGACTTGTATTAAATATTGAGGCCAGTCAGTCCATTCCATCATTTCATTCTCTCCAACCTTCACCTATTCTCCACGTAGACAAAACAGAGTGGAATTAGACTGTCTGTGCAGAAAATGACAATTCTGAAGATCCACAATGCCCCTCATTTCTCTGGAAGTATGTTGGTCAGAATGTCAATAAAATTGTCCAGGCCCCAGAGGTACCCGTCCTCTCTGTTGCCCTCCACCCACGGGCTGCGATGGTCCAGGGTGAGAGGGGGCGGCAAGGGCACAGTCTTTCCAAAGTCTATCATCCAGATTCCAGCCTTGCCAGTGAGGTCATGGACAAATAATAAGGAGCTGCCCACCACCTACAGGCAAACATAGCAAAAACGTCCGTATTAGAGCCTGTATTTTACATCAGCAGTGTAGAATGAAGAACCACCAAATGAAGATGCATCTCACCTCATGTGCTTTGAAGAAATCAGATTTTTCCAGCACGCCTCGTAGTTCCTTCAACCGTTGTTGGTAGCTTCTCTGAGAACAGAAGAGCCTAACAATGAACTTGTTTACATAATAGTTTTTTTCAAATGGATTATTGGTTAAAAGACGCACAGGCAGAGGAACCATTATTTTAACCATACAGCAATTATTAATAAAAACTAGATCTGAAACGTTTAAAAGCAAAAAGTAAAATAGAATAAAATACTACAATAATTAATTTATATGCACAAATATAATAATTACATTTACCTGCTTATATTTTTACCAAAATAGTTTTAACATGAAAAAAATCTGTGCATGTTATTCAAAAGAAAAATTGTTTACCTTCATAATTACAATTAACAAATAATAGTTTATACACGCACGGCGCACGTATATATATATTATACATACATCTCAAATTAATATACTGATATTAGTCTAAATGAAAAGTAAAGTATGAAAATAATATTTTAATAACATTGTTAAATGTATTCGTGTTCTAACAAATTAACTTTAAGTAATCATTAGATGATGGCAAATGTAAAAAGCAGAAAATGAGAAAGAACAATTAAAAATACATTATTGACAGATCCTGATGAATTGCTACATAGTATTGAATATATTGTAAATATTTGATATATATCGCACACAAATTGACAAATTCATACCAAAATTAGCATGTTGTTGTCCACAAAGTCCTCCAGGGTTTGGATCACCTCATCTTTGTACTTTGTTCTCTTGAAGTTAGTGTTACAAGTGCCATCCGATTTCTGAAGACAGATCAACTTGGTCAAGACAATATACTGAAGACTAAAACAAAACTAAGCCATCTCAAGAAAAACTAAGCATTTCCAAACATAAATTCAGAGGGGTCCTGAATCATATCTACCTTGATGCCCTCGATGCGAAAGCCCAGCGTAGCCGTTGAGCTGAGGGTTTCTCTCCACTGCATGTATCTGGTTTTGAGTACTGCTTGCCTGGCCCGCTCATCCGCAGTGGGGGCGTTCGGTTCCACAGCTATCATTTTTTCATACATGTCTTTGCGAGGCTGAGGACACTCCCGGGCCTTCTCCAACTCTTCCTCCAGGTAAGTCCTAAAAGCATGTATACAGTCAACATCAGCACAGGAATAATTATTTAGCATGGAAACATTGTGATTTGTATTTGAGAACTGCCCTAACAGGATTATGCCAGTTCTCAGAGATGCTGACAACCAGTGATCATATTTCCTCCTCTATTGTTTGGACACCACTGTCTACTGTGTTGTAGTCTTGGCTTCAGCTGGCACACCCATGAACAAGCCCCTATATAATTGTCAGCTTAAGTGGGAAGCACTAGTAAAAAAAAAAAAAATTGCCTGACAGCAATACAAATACTGAGAGTCAGGTGCACAAATTGATCAGTTTGCCAAGAAATAGTGTTTAAAAAGATACCAGGGTTGATGTTAAAAGCACTTGATATGAGTGGAGATACACTGATTTTTAAATTCTGTCTGATATCGATAAGCTGCAAATTATTCTCATGTTGTGGCCGATAAACAATACAAGGCCCCTTGTAAATATCAAATAGTAATTAATTTGTATTTAGACATCACAACACTATAAAATATAGTATGAAATAAAACAATATTCCTGTTGTTAAAGATTCCATTTAACAATGTAATTATGACGTACATCTGAGTGTAACAGATTATCAGAGAAATAAAAAAGTTGAGTGGGGGTTCCATCCATCAGTTGTTGATTAGATTTTGTGATGTGACAGTGGCACTCAAAAGTGGAGGCAGATGAACGTGAGCTTGCAGAGGCAGGTTTAAGTGGACTAAATGATTAAGAAGTCTGTTATTTTCACTAGGTCCAGTTAGGAGTTAGTTTGTTTAAACCCTACAAGGTCAAAACATTTTTTTTAAATTAAACAAATGCACAGATGAATTGTTCACAATAACATCTAAAATGCATTCGAAAAAGGGATAGTGTGAATTTTCAGTTCATGCAGACTTTATAGATTGAGTGAGTGTTGAACAATTAAATATACAATAATCAGCAGATACTGATAAGTTAACACAATAAACTAGACACCCAAAAGCAAAACTGTAGATCCCACTTTGTTTTCTATTTGTATAATAATTAGTACTTGTAACTAATTTAAGTTTGGATGAACAAAAAATAATAATAATAATAATAATAATAATCCTTAATTTCTAGTGATCTTTAGCAGAAACAGCAAAAAAAAAGCATGCATTTTCGATTTTGAACAAAACCGTTTTGGAGAGCCGCAATCATTTACCGGAATAGTGACGTTTAATTAGTGCTTTTCCGATGATGCATTTTTACTGTGTCAGTATTTATTTCATGAACACAATGTGGATAAGCTAAACATGGTAAACGTGTCAGCAGTGTGGACACTTCACAGTGACCAAAAATGATGCTAGAGTAGCAATATGGACAATTTTGTTTGGCTGAAATATCAAGACGCAGCTTGTTAATGAAGAAATTTACCATGCCGGGTTTAATTTATCACCTAAAAACACGACTGCTTGAAGAGAATAAAGTGTTTAAAGGGTTCGTTCATCCAAAAATGAAAATTCTGTCATCATTTACTTACCCTCATGTCGCTCCAAACCTGTAAGGTTTTTGTTCATCTTTGGAACACAAATTAAGATATTTTGAAGAGACATGATCGATTTAAATGATGAACAGATTGAATTTAGGCTTTTATTCACACAAAAACAGTCATCACCTCACACATCAGTTGTGGTAAAAGGAAGCTCAAGCATGTTCGCATGACGTGCGAGAACCAATGAGGTTCATTCTCGTGTTACGCAGCACGTTTAAGCTTCAGCAAGAACCAATGAAGTTAATTCTCGTGTTACACAGCACGTTTGAGCTCCTGCAAGAACCAATGAGGTTCATTATCGTGTTACGCAGCACGTTTAAGCTCCTGCAAGAACCAATGAGGTTCATTCTCGTGTTACGCAGCACGTTTAAGCTCCTGCAAGAACCAATGAGGTTCATTCTCGTGTTACGCAGCACGTTTAAGCTCCTGCAAGAACCAATGAGGTTCATTCTCGTGTTACGCAGCACGTTTAAGCTTCAGCAAGAACCAATGAGGTTCATTCTCGTGTTACGCAGCACGTTTAAGCTTCAGCAAGAACCAATGAGGTTCATTCTCGTGTTGCGCAGCACGTTTGAGCTTCAGCAAGAACCAATGAGGTTCATTCTCGTGTTACGCAGCACGTTTAAGCTTCAGCAAGAACCAATGAGGTTCATTCTCGTGTTACGCAGCACGTTTAAGCTTCAGCAAGAACCAATGAGGTTCATTCTCGTGTTACGCAGCACGTTTGAGCTTCTGCAAGAACCAATGAGGTTCATTCTCGTGTTACGCAGCACGTTTAAGCTTCAGCAAGAACCAATGAGGTTCATTCTCGTGTTACGCAGCACGTTTAAGCTTCAGCAAGAACCAATGAGGTTCATTCTCGTGTTGCGCAGCACGTTTAAGCTTCTGCAAGAACCAATGAGGTTCATTCTCGTGTTACGCAGCACGTTTAAGCTTCAGCAAGAACCAATGAGGTTCATTCTCGTGTTACGCAGCACGTTTAAGCTTCAGCAAGAACCAATGAGGTTCATTCTCGTGTTACGCAGCACGTTTAAGCTTCAGCAAGAACCAATGAAGTTCATTCTCGTGTTACGCAGCACGTTTAAGCTTCAGCAAGAACCAATGAGGTTCATTCTCGTGTTACGCAGCACGTTTAAGCTCCTGCAAGAACCAATGAAGTTCATTCTCGTGTTACGCAGCACGTTTAAGCTTCAGCAAGAACCAATGAGGTTCATTCTCGTGTTACGCAGCACGTTTAAGCTTCAGCAAGAACCAATGAGGTTCATTCTCGTGTTACGCAGCACGTTTAAGCTTCAGCAAGAACCAATGAGGTTCATTCTCGTGTTACGCAGCACGTTTAAGCTCCTGCAAGAACCAATGAAGTTCATTCTCGTGTTACGCAGCACGTTTAAGCTTCAGCAAGAACCAATGAGGTTCATTCTCGTGTTACGCAGCACGTTTGAGCTCCTGCAAGAACCAATGAGGTTCATTCTCGTGTTACGCAGCACGTTTAAGCTTCAGCAAGAACCAATGAGGTTCATTCTCGTGTTACGCAGCACGTTTAAGCTTCTGCAAGAACCAATGAAGTTCATTCTCGTGTTACGCAGCACGTTTAAGCTTCAGCAAGAACCAATGAGGTTCATTCTCGTGTTACGCAGCACGTTTGAGCTCCTGCAAGAACCAATGAGGTTCATTCTCGTGTTACGCAGCACGTTTAAGCTCCTGCAAGAACCAATGAAGTTCATTCTCGTGTTACGCAGCACGTTTAAGCTTCAGCAAGAACCAATGAGGTTCATTCTCGTGTTACGCAGCACGTTTGAGCTCCTGCAAGAACCAATGAGGTTCATTCTCGTGTTACGCAGCACGTTTAAGCTTCAGCAAGAACCAATGAGGTTCATTCTCGTGTTACGCAGCACGTTTAAGCTTCAGCAAGAACCAATGAGGTTCATTCTCGTGTTACGCAGCACGTTTAAGCTTCTGCAAGAACCAATGAAGTTCATTCTCGTGTTACGCAGCACGTTTAAGCTTCAGCAAGAACCAATGAGGTTCATTCTCGTGTTACGCAGCACGTTTGAGCTCCTGCAAGAACCAATGAGGTTCATTCTCGTGTTACGCAGCACGTTTGAGCTTCTGCAAGAACCAATGAGGTTCATTCTCGTGTTACACAGCACGTTTGAGCTTCTGCAAGAACCAATGAGGTTCATTCTCGTGTTACGCAGCACGTTTAAGCTTCAGCAAGAACCAATGAAGTTCATTCTCGTGTTACGCAGCACGTTTGAGCTCCTGCAAGAACCAATGAGGTTCATTCTCGTGTTACGCAGCACGTTTAAGCTTCAGCAAGAACCAATGAGGTTCATTCTCGTGTTACGCAGCACGTTTAAGCTTCAGCAAGAACCAATGAGGTTCATTCTCGTGTTACGCAGCACGTTTGAGCTCCTGCAAGAACCAATGAGGATCATTCTCGTGTTGCGCAGCACGTTTAAGCTTCAGCAAGAACCAATGAGGTTCATTCTCGTGTTACGCAGCACGTTTAAGCTTCAGCAAGAACCAATGAGGTTCATTCTCGTGTTACGCAGCACGTTTAAGCTTCAGCAAGAACCAATGAGGTTCATTCTCGTGTTACGCAGCACGTTTAAACTTCAGCAAGAACCAATGAGGTTCATTCTCGTGTTACGCAGTACGTTTGAGATTCAGCAAAAGGTTCGGTTGATCTTCTGTTTATGTTCGCTGATCAAGGTTTATATGTAAATAAAAGACTAAAATTATAATTTTCATCATATTAATCATGTCTTGTTAGAAAATTTGGACTAACCATATGGATTAGTTTTACAATCTCTTTATGAACTTTTTGAAGCGTCAAAGTGGTAGTTGTGTAGCTGTCAATGGAGGGACAGAAAGGTCTCAGAATTCATTACAGAGATCTGCATTTGTGTTCCAGAGATGAACGAAAGACTTGGAACTACATGAGGGTGAGTAAAAATTTTTGGGTGAACTATACCTTTAATTACCCAAACTTCATTTTCGGATTCAGTTGTTGTCCAGATTAAAACATTAATTTCAGTTTCGATTAAAAAATAAATAAATAAATGAAAAATAATTTCGGTGCGTCACTTAATTTCCTAATGGTGTTTTCATGTAGTCATCCGTAAAGCCATGACATTATTTTTTTTGTGTGTGCCAGTCCATTATTGTGGAATCTACCCATAAATCATCCATTTAAAGAAAATATGATAAGTGCAGAATTTACAAAGCACAACATCCTCACCGGCTTCCCATTTTGCAGTCCATGATGCAGGGAGAGTCAAAGTCAGCAAGCAGGTCGTCCATGAGGTTGTAATCCTGCTCGTCACGCTGGGTCACGCCGTAGTATGCAGGAACGAAGGGCTGCAGCGAGTCGCTCATGAGCTGCAGAAAACACTGCTGCTCGCACTCGCAGAACTTCTTCAGCAGCCTTCCATCACTGCCCATCTGAAAGTTTCCTGGAGAAACAAACAAAACCATGCAGACGTCAGACAAAAAGGGAATCACCAAACACAGCAATAAAAAAAATCATTAGCTTTACGGTATATGCAAATTCACATGACCATAAAACAATAATAAATATTAAGGCTCAAACATGAAAGTTATATATAAATGCTATCAGGTGATCCAAATGTAATTTCAGGAAATGAATAATTTAAATTCAATCAACAGACTTTAATCATCAATATATTTATTTATTTACTTTGATAGCTGAAGTCTCTTGATTGAGAATACACACACACACACACACACACACTCTTATAAACAGATGAACAAGCAAACCTGCATGGCCGACCACCTGTACCCAAGGAGAGCGCTTTTTCACCGCCACTGGAGTGGGAGACCAGTTCACCATATTCTTTGACTTCTTCCACAGATCAGCCTTTGAATGAAGAGATATGATTGAAAAAAACATAAATGAGACTGACATGTCAGTTAACACCCTACGACTTTGACTGAGCAGTACGCAATGGCAATTCTGTACAAGGGTCATTTGTTGGTAGAGGCTTTTCTCGTCTTGCCTTCTGTTCTCTTTTTCTTACATAGCAAGCCGCTCTGGGGCACTGAGTGCATTCAGTCGACCTCAGACTCCAACGTGCAACTCAATCTCCTCCATTAACCATAGGTCGAGTTTTTCCCCATGTGGCAAATCATTGACGACAATCTCGAACTAAACAAAGTCATCAAGCAATACCAAGAGGCTGTGATTAAGAAATAGCTAATCTTAGAAGGATGTTCATAAAACATTTACAGACGGCACTTGTTATGCTGCCAGATAAAATGGAGGAGCCAGTGTGGACTGTGCCAACAAGAATAGCAAATTTTCTTTACAACTTGAATACATGCGAGTGAATGTCAGTGATTAAATTTAAAAAAGGTTTTAAGGTAAAAAAAAAAAAACATTTTTTTAATATCATGAATTAATATTTCATAAATGCCATTAAGTTTTTGTGGATTCACAGCACATGACATTTCAAAACCTAAAGTAACATTGCTTGTCAAAAAAAAACATCTGAAGTTTTTAATTTGTTAGATGCCATGGATCAAATGTTAATATAATGTATTTTTTCTATATAATACTGTTAGATGTATTATTTATTTTATCTTTATTTAAATTCATTTTATTTGTTAAAATATATCTTAATTTATAAAATTTTAGTTATTTACTTTTTTTAGTTACTTTTAGTTAGTTTTTTTTAAGCATTCCCTTGCTTAAAAGTGTCAATAAGTTTCTTAATGTTTTTTTTTTTCCTGCATGTTGATCACTCAATTTTAATGTGGCAGACAATTTGTTTTCCAAATATTAATAAGCAGTGTAGCAGTTTTGATTTAAAAAAAAATGCTAGAAATAAAAATAAAGGATTATGGCTAACTTTTCAATAATTTTCAATAGTTTTTTTTAATCATGATTCCAGAACAGTAGCATCACTCTGACTTCACCACCAAAAAATATATGAATGAATATAAAATTAATTTTAAAGCAGACATTAAAAACATGCCCATCATACAAGAGGTGTATTCAAGTCAATGCATGTGTGTGAAATGATATTTGATGTTTTTTTTTTAATAAATAAAAGATCTGGACACAATAAAAATAAAAGTGTGCGTCACATCATTGACTCTTAAGTATTTAGTTCTGCTGCTCACCCACACTTCTTCCTGACCGACTTGATCTGTTGATTCCTTCCTCTCCGCCGTTTTGATGTTGTCAGAAAACCGTCTACACGATTCCTTTGAGCTGATGTGCCATCAACCTTTTTTATCCTACTCTATACAAGACCCTATACCGCTGTAACGACTGAAGGCAATGTGAAAATCTTTCTATCGTGTGTAACTATCCTCCAAGCGTCAGCCTTCTGAATGAAGCCAATTAACCTGTACAGTTCTCTCTGCTCTCCAAGCTCAAACACTCACTCACGGCTAGTGGAAAACCAGTCAGACGAGAATGACTTTCTCCAGAACAAAGCAAGAGAGGCCCACCATACAGAGCTGGAGGTGCATCATTTGTTGACCTTATAAGTTCAGTTTCAATAGAGCATTGACTCACTATTGTGAGTTTCTCAATGGGCCACTTCCCCCCCTCATGATCCATAAAAACAAATCCCATTCAATATCATCATCAAAATGATTGGAGACAGAACAGCTCCTACAACAGAACAATGCAGATTATATTCAAACACCTTTATGGTTTCAATGATGAATAGGCCTAATCCTTGTTGACTTAACATATCACTGAGTTTACATTTGATTTATTGTTATCATGTGATTATAATGATGGTGGCTGCTTTACCGTCACACAAATACCTTCTTAAGAGACATTTGTCCTACTCAAATGGACCTCTTTACCAAAAAAAAAGTAATAGACATGGAATTTTTTCCTCCATTTACAACCATGATCTCATGACCCGAAGCCCATAATGTTAATCAGTCATCATGAGAATTACTCAACAACTGCATATTTTGATCTGCAGCATGCAGTGTGCACACTTGGCATTCAATGCATCTGCACTTAAAAAGTTACCATGACAACTATAGTTTGATAAAATATCACTTAAAGTAATAAAAAAAAAATTGGAAACTTTTGCAGTTGTATCATGATAGCAGAGAAGTACAGTATAGTATCTAGTTGCAAGTATTGTACAAAGGTAAACACCTTGCTAAGCTTTTTTAATTGACTTTTGACAAGAAACAGATACGATTTTCTTATGTTTGTATTTTTGATGCAAAAACTTTGTAGAGAAACCGGTCAAAAATCACTATTCTCTCACTGACAGAGGGAAAATTATTCTACAAAAAAATAAATACTGCCCTATCAGTAGTATTTACTCTCAAATAAAGTCCAGAGGCTGTTTAAATAAAAGGAAAGTTAAATTTGTGGACATGATTGATAGTTTTGTTAGTCACATTTGGATAAAGAAAAATACTTTTTTTTTTTTATCAGTAGTATTTACTCTCAAATAAAGTCCAGAGGCTGTTTAAATAAAAGGAAAGTTAAATTTGTGGACATGATTGATAGTTTTGTTAGTCACATTTGGATAAAGAAAAATACTTTTTTTTTTTTTTTTAATCAGTGAGGAAACATTTAAGTCCTGATGGCATAATGTACATGAAATTGTAGTGAAGTAAAAAGTATTTTGTCCCCTTGTAAAGAGTAAACAGAACTCTAGTAAAGTACAAATTGCCAAAACAATACACAAGCATAGTATTAGTAATTAAGTACTTATACTTCACACATCTGCCAGTTTTGTCAGTAACATTGGAATATTTTGTGTATTGGGATAGCAGTGACTATCAAAGAAATAAGTTCCAATACATAATGAAAAAAGTTCAAACGGATTCTTACCGTGAGCGGTTCACCTGGAGACTGATTATAATCACTGTAACCCATTAAATCCTCTTCGCATTCCTCAAAAGACGAAGCTGGCGAGAGGCCGGTGGAGGAAGAGTTGGACAGCTTCCTCAGCGCCAGGGACGAGGCGGGAGAGCCGCTGAGTCCGCTATCCGAGCAGATGGACTCCTCGTCGGGCTGATGTGAGCCTGAGCAGGGTCCGCGGGGGCTCTGGTCACACTCGCAGGTTACAACCAGCTCAGGAACAGCAACACGAGCGCGTCTAGAGAGCTGCTCCATGGGCTCCTCTGGGTGGCTGTGGTGGACGTCACCCATAACCACGCAGGGTGCCGGGGTATCGGGTGTTTTAGTCATCACGCTGCTTCTGATCTACAAGATCATTGAGGTTGTTGATGGCTTTATCCAGATTATTAGGGCCAAACCCAACGCGTAACCGGCTCGCGCTGACGGGCACTGCCGCACCTTTTATATGCGTGTGACGCGTCGCGCAGCTGCACAATAAAAGCAATATTGGCCTACTATCAACGTTAAGTGTCTGTGATCACATCCTTTTAGCCTCTGGAAATTAATTTTAATAATAATTACCTGAAAAATTTAAAGAACACACAAGTATTAACGTACAAACAACGTTAATGCGTATTTCAGCGACAGTGTCAAAGTATTATTTGCTCATGCTCAAATCGTCGCTTTAACAGACTGAACTGCTTTGCCCCGCCCTCTTTTCTTTAAAGCAACAGAGCCACAAAAAAATCCCTTATATCAGATTTACAGCGCCACCTAACCTGCGGTAGCTAACGTCCACAGTACAGGATGAAACAGTTTGTTTCTGGTCAAAATCAATTAAAAGGCATTTAACACATTTGAACAATATGTTTTTAAAGAAGACACGTTTACAGTAGAATAAAGTACTTAAAGGGACAGTTCACTCAAATCAACTTGTCAAGCCTCAAAAAGGACGCAAAACTCATCAGTTGTCCAGTGTTCTGGAGTAAACTGTGTGAAGAACAGACCGAAATGCAGGTCGTTATTCAATGACGATCTTGACATACTGAACACTCAAGTTCTACTCTCTGCATTTGTGAGAATGCAAGTTTTATTCCTGGCTGAACTAACAACTAATTTGAGTCAGACTGAAGCACAATGCCCCTAAATACTTAGTTTAGCTGTGCCTATATTCATGACAGCTTTTATACCTGCTTAAATTGACTGTACATCATAGCAGATGTTAATCTGTAGAGTAGACAACCATGCCATTTTATTATATCAAGAAATGTTTAAAAATTCTGGCCTCGTGATCACACCTAAAAACAAATTTAATGTTTTTGTTATTCTACATACAAGATTTTGATGGAATCACATTAAAAATATGACTTTGGGAGAAATGGCCACAATTAAAGCAAACATGTTAGAGGCCAAAAGACAAAATATCTGCTGCATGTACATCTTTACATTTATGCATTTGGCAGATGCTTATCTAAAGCAACGCACCCTTAAGATACATTTTATCACTATATGTGTTTCCTGGAAATCAAACCTATAACCTTGGTGTTGATAGCGCCATGCCATGCATTAGTTATGGGAACAATAACTTAATAAATATATATGTAATATAAATAAAATGGATATCGCATTCTGTTGTGCTCTATTGTGTAAGATATAATTCCAGAGTGTCTCTCAAGAATAGACAAACTGCAAAATCATTTTATATATAAAAAGCTTTGTTTGTCAGAATCTCACAAAAACAAAATGTGAAAGTATCTAAAACAGACATAAAAACATACACACTAATCATATAAAAACAACAATGGTCAACAAGCACTAATTCATCAAATGTACACAGGAATGTGTTTTAAAAAACAGTATATCCTGAGGTCATACTTTTGGACAAGTCTGATATGGCAACAGTCACAAGAACCCCCTTGACAAAGCCAGTATAACTGCATTTTGAGTCAAGCCCAAAAGCTACATTAGGGATTAAAAAATAAACAGTTTCAAAGAAATGATTGTCCAAGTTTTTCAGTCTCAGTCTTTGTGCAAAATACCTAGATTGACATCTGAATCCACTGGGATTAATTAGTGTCCTGTGTCAAGGTCCCGCATGTAGTCCTGCAGGGCTTGGAGTCGAGCGTCAATCTCCGACAAGTCAGCACCCGTGTCAATAGAAGTGTCTGAGTTGGAGAAATATAAATGGCTTACATGTATTGGCTATAGATGCATATACATAAAGAAAGGGGAAATGATATGGTACCTGCCGCTCTCATCCTTTGTGCAGGGGTGCTACACATTGGTTTTTTGTTTATGTGTCTTCCTCTGGACTAGATGGAGCAATGCAATGCAATGCAAAAAAAAAACAGCAATTAGAATTATAAAAAAAATCAGCAATTAGAGGCCTAATCTTTACAAAATCTTACACAAACATTTCACATTGTTACTCACCACAGCTGGACCATTATACACCAGTTTCCTTCCTCTGCAAAAAAAAAGAAAAAGAAAAAAGAAAAAAAATAATAGCAATAATATCAGACATTATACATGACACATTCATTTTGATCATACATTATGATTTTTTTTAAAGGAAACTTACGCTTTATTTGATTAAAAACTACATAAAAACAGTAATATTGAGAAATATTATACATTTAAAAATTTGATTTTATTTGTTCAGCATCCTCATTACTTCAGTCTTCAGTGTCACATGATCTTCAGAAATCATTCTAATATCAGGGTTTATGCAGGAATCATAGAGATGAATTTACTACCTTTTACTACCTTTTTTACTACCTCCAGAATATGTTTTACTACCAACACGACATCAATCAGCAGCCCTTTTTTGGGGGGTGTGGGAGGGGTATGCAAAGCACCACTTACTACTTACTATAAGGTATAAGTGTGACACTGTCACACACATCATACATATTAGGTACACTAATGTTTAATTGTGATCATTACAAAAAAAAACATAATTGACAATGACAATATTAGTGTTGAGTTGAGTTTCAGTTGTCCTTATCTTAACCCTAGCCCTCGAGTTATCCTCACCATAACGTTAGCCCTTAGGCCTAATAAGGTGAAGAAAAACCTTGGCACTTCTTAAAAACAAATGACACTTAACAACAATAAACATTAAAAAAAAAATTATAATAAAAGTGTGTCACATCACACACACTTACCCACAAACACACATTCTCACACACGCAGACTTAAGCAGTGAAATTACTATCCCAAAACAGCAATTTATTTCATCACATCTCTAAATGTGCTTCAAATATTGCACTGGTTTGCTGCTGAGATGGTGCGACGACAGCTAACCTTAAGTTGGCATGATTTGCCATGATCTGTGTAGTGCTGCTAGCATCGCAAAACAACAAAATAGGGAGCTGCTCCCCCCTCACCCTCACCCGTTAAATATTTTCAATTAGGGATGCACCGATACCACTTTTTGCAGAACGAGACCGATACCAATACTTTCATTTGTGGTACTCGCCGATATCGATACCGTAACCGATGCCTGAATTTTCACTGCATTTGTAATTTTTAAATGTATTAGTAGATAGATAAACCAAAAGAATATAAATCATATTAGTTGGCTTAATTTGTTCATCAAATATATATTTCCTTTAGATATTTTCATGCTTAATTAATCCTTCTAAAAAGCATGCTTCTGTTTCTGTCACTGTTCATTCTATTACTCTATCATATTTTATCTTGCATTTAATAGCATAGCACATATTTAGAGCTGCTCCAGCAGGGCTCAGTGCTGAGATTGGGTCAGTGGTACAAATGTTTTGACACCAGTGAAATACCAGTTATTTAATCCAATTTTGATACTACAACAAAAACTACCAGCCCAATAAAAGTAAGCAGTCAGTAACAAAATAAGAAAAAATAATCGAATTACAAATAGGACAAATAAATACAATAGAACAAAGAAAAGCTACAAATGAAATAAACAGTGTTTTTAGAGTTTTTCGGGTAGATTGGTACATTTGAATACATTAATCAAATGTAAAAAAATTGCATATTCATTATTGTATAAATTTAAATCTAGATGGATATTTTTGTAAAGTTGAAAAGGGTAGACCATTTAGTCAAGAGCAGTGAGTAATTTATTTGTCCTTTGTTTGATTAACATTAAAACACAGTAGCAAGTATATTAAAGTGCTGCCCCTTTAAGACCGAACGCACATTTGAACATGGCTACGTTCACATGAGATATAACCAACTTTGTTTACTAGGATACTCGCCAAGACGGGCGTTTTTACATAATTTTGTGACGTGATGTGAAAGACAATTTTCAGTATTCGCGCGCTGAGGCGATGGTTTGCGGAGCGCGCGCTTTGGATGTTTGCGTTCATGGAACTTCTTGACCTGCACACGTCCAGTAATAATGTAGGGAACCATTTGTTATACATAAATCAGGTAACAGGTCATGTCTTACTTTACTTACATATACGATTTAGTTTTCATTCAAATAACACGTGCTGAGTGAACGATCAGGAGCATTCGGTCAGAAACCGGAGTAAAGATAGTTTGCGGTTTGATTTTCAGTTTTCGTTTCGCTGTGGTCCCGCAGTGCGGTGTCGTGGACATGCAAATAATATCTCATGTCGTTATTCATGATTTGTGAATTTGTGTAACGGTATTTCTCCGGGTCAAAAACCTTTTTTTTTTTTTTTTTAAATTGGGTATAGCTCCAAAAGTCGGTCACTTAGGAGTCTGAACCCAGTGTCACCTTGACATGCTCGATTTGTGAATTTTTTCACAGCAAAGCTCTTATCTGTAAAACGTTCGCTAAGTCCGGTAGACAGGAATGTTGAAAATAGGCGTTGTTCATGTTTAAACAATGGATATTAACAATTTATAATAAACACACACACTGCTGGATTACAAAAACACTTGTTTTAGATTGAACCTGATTTGTGAAACCTTTCAGAGGTCAGTTTGGGTCAGTTAACCCCTCCCTGAGTGGTTAACTAGGTCATTCTGATTTGTGAAACCTTTCACAGATCAGTTTGGGTCAGTTAACCCTTCCCTGAGTGGTTAACTAGGTCATTCTGATTTGTGAAACCCTTCACAGATCAGTTTGGGTCAGTTAACCCTTCCCTGAGTGGTTAAATACGTCATTCTGATTTGTGAAACCTTTCACAGATCAGTTTGGGTCAGTTAACCCTTCCCTGAGTGGTTAAATAGGTCATTCTGATTTGTGAAACCTTTCACAGATCAGTTTGGGTCAGTTAACCCTTCCCTGAGTGGTTAACTAGGTCATTCTGATTTGTGAAACCTTTCACAGATAGGTTTGAGTCAGTTAACCCTTCCCTGGTTGGTTAACTAGGTCATTCTGATTTGTGAAAAGTTTCACAGATCCGTTTGGGTCAGTTAACCCTTCCCTGAGTGGTTAACTAGGTCATTCTGATTTGTGAAACCTTTCACAGATCAGTTTGGGTCAGTTAACCCTTCCCTGAGTGGTTAACTAGGTCATTCTGATTTGTGAAACCTTTCAGAGGTCAGTTTGGGTCAGTTAACCCTTCCCTGAGTGGTTAACTAGGTCATTCTGATTTGTGAAACCTTTCAGAGGTCAGTTTGGGTCAGTTAACCCCTCCCTGAGTGGTTAACTAGTTCATTCTGATTTGTGAAACCTTTCAGAGGTCAGTTTGGGTCAGTTAACCCCTCCCTGAGTGGTTAACTA